ATAAGCGAAAGTGAAGGGGATCTGAAAGAGATAGAGGGATGCCAAGGAGAGAAAGACGGAGGAGGGGTAGGTGTATAAGAAATTTTGTCTGAGAGAAGGGCATACGGTTAAAAGTTTTATTCTCAAATTTCTTCGTTGATTTTTCATGTTCAAGTACGGCAAAACTTTTTACAACCAGGATGACCCATTCAGATGACGCCTGTCGAATTTGTAAAAATATTTTGTTCGATTAGAAATTAATTTAGAAACTTTGCGTTCTGCATGTTTTTATATGTTTGCATGTGTTGGCTATGTGTCTTAATTAGATCTGTTTATAAGCTGGTCTTTGAAGCGCCACACTAATTTTGGATTAAATGTTTTATTCATAAGAATGGTGCTTTATTGCGTTTAAGGTTGCCGTCTTTCAAAGGCACTTTACGTTGTATTTCGTTTCCTGGGAAATATTTAAAATAATACTTCAAAAAAATAAAGAATAAAGGAAAGAAATAAAAATGGAAATTGGAAGTGAGCGGGTTGTTCCGATGCGTTTAGTTGCGAATTGGGAAACTGATCGGGCATCTACGAGTGCTGTTCAAAGGTGACCTTTCGTAACTCTTAATTTATTTAATTTTTGCGAAATTGCGGAAGTTTCCTTTCTTGTTTTAGTATTTTTCAGTTGCTTATATCATTACTTATGATTAAAGTGATTGGGAATGTTTTTCCAGAGCTTGCAGATTTACGTTTTTTACAAGTCCTTTTGATGATATTAATAAATCGTTATAGTTATTTCGTCAGCATTTTAGGATTTTTACGATGGCGTTATCCAGAATGGCCTTTAATTTTGTGGACGATCAACAGTACTCAGTTGTCATTACCGTTAAACTTTTGGTATTTATTCTCCGCCTATTGGAAAAGCTTTCCATTTTCATTCGAACATCTTAATATTGTATTGTAAAACTGTTTCAAAAATTATTTCTAACAGCTGCTTTTCAACATCTGGAGAGATGCAGGGTGGTGTTGTTATTCAACAAGAAATTTTTTTTAAGGGTATTAAAAGAACTCTTCGTAGTAACGACATACAAATTAGTACAAATGGAGGAAGGTTGGATGTACCGCTCAACATTTCTTTCGTTATTCAGGTTGTTTATTGTTCTCATTGAAAGTAGTGATCCTAGCAAGTATGATGACTTAAAGAGAGGAAGACAAAAGGGTTTTAACATGCCGTTTTGTCGCTTGAAGGAGCTCTCTGGCGTTTTCTTTTCTCTTCCAGAGTGGCAGGGAAGATATATGTTTATAAAAGCAGGCAATTCTTTTGTTTTTTGAATTTCATTGTAGATTTGGTACGGTTAATCTGATTTTGCATGCTACTGTCATTTAGGGTCGGCGGAGATGATATTTGGAGGAAGTTTTAAAAAAAGTGCAGTCTTTCATTATGTAGCTAAAATTTTTAATGCTGCGATGCCTTTAGTTAAAAGTTTAAGTACGTTTAGGGTCCGGTGATTTATTTTTATGCTGCTTTTTGTTGACTCTAGCTGATACTTTACTAAGGTTGGCAGACTCAGACAATAAGGGTGTCAGGTGGGTATTGATTGAAGTAATTGATATAGTACGTCGATGATGGTTTCTCTTGTTTTGGATGGTGGTGTTAGTCTTTTAACCAATGTCGTTTCGTTAGCCTGAAGTAATTTCCATGTAAAGGAAAATTAGAAATCTTGTATAAATATTTAGGTGTAGGATGAGTTATTTGAACTTTAAGCCATTCGCAAATGCTTTGTTAATGGAACTTTTATTTTTACTGCGTTTGGGTTATTTGCATTTGGCGATACTGTTTCAAAATCTGCTATAGTTTCTTATCTTGATATCCTTCGGTCAGGAAAGTTCTTGCATAGAACTACAGGTTATAACACCTCACCGCTGATGTAGATGAAATTTAATTATTTTTATGGGAGTTTCTAATTTTTTCTATTTTAGTACCCACATTTCTTGAAAAGAAAAGGAAATATCCTCCAGATTCTTTTACAGCGAAGAAAGCGGTATAAAAATCGCCAAATACCCGGATACAAGACACTTGCTCTTGGTACAATTCCATTAACTTTTCTTAAACTGTGTCAAAACTTTGTGAGTAGTTAACACTCGTTTTCAGGTTCTGTGAACCTCTCGGAAGTGTTGCAGAACGGAAACCTCAAAGAAATCCTGTTGTTTGATCCTGATTACGAGAAAGAAGAGCGTCCATCTAGTTGTAGGCCTCTTTATTATTTATGGTCTTTAAATCATTGCTGAATTTGGAAGGGGAGGTGAAGAAATTTGTAGTGCTTTTTTCGTAAAGTCTTCTGAGAGTTCAGTGAAACGTAATGGGTTGCTGTTAATGTGATAAAGAGCGGATCGCAGCAGTTCTGAAGTTGGCTAGACCAATATTTACAGTATTTATAATGAATTCTAATTTTTTAGGCGTTAAAAAATTAATTTTTACCAACACTGTATTAATTAAACTTTCGATAAAACTGTAATATCTCAGCTCCTTGTAGCACCAATCGGTCGCATTTTGGTTTCTTCTTGTCAAAGTTTGGCTTTGGAACTTGAAAACGAAGTAAATGCTCAGAGAGTAAAAGGGAAGGAAGTGGAGAGTGAAGAGGAAGAGGGGACATCCTCTGAAGTACAGGATACTGATAATGACCAGGATATTGGGTCTGATTCTGGTAGGAAACACAGGTAACTTCAAAAGACTTAATCTTGCAAACATATATCTTTGAGTGTAGCTGGTCAGCAAACAGTAATGGATAGTTTCCTGGTTCACTTATTGCTTCATTTAATTTTAAGGTTAAAAATGAGGAATAATCAGGACCGGAAGTGGGCACAGAGGAAGAATTTGAAACAGAAATTTGTTTCTTTGCTGAAGAAATTCAAGGTGTCAGAAGAAGACGTTGGTGGTAACAGGATTTTTGTTTTTTACAAGTTTTCTTCAGTTTGGTAAATCTGGAAACCAGTTGTCAATTTTTCAGGCTCTCCCACCAGAGTTGAAAATGGGCCTTCAACAGCTAAGCAATTAGAGGAACTTTTTGAAGAATTAGAAGGTTTATCAGATTCAGGGCCAGAAATGGTTGGTGACAATCTAAGCATGGTCAGTAATCCTCGGCCAGGGCTGACACCTTATTTCCCGACAGCATCGAGGGAAGTTCTTCCGTGTATAAAAGACGTGAGTATTTAAGTAACACTGCTACTTATTTAGTAGGCTACACAATGGTAGTACAGTTTTTCGTTCAACTAAACTGTTATTTTAATAGGGGTTTATAAATAGCTAAGCCTCAAAATTAAAATTTGAGTCTATTTACATCTTTTTGACGGTTTGAGTGTACGTGAATACGTAACTCTTTAGGGCCTTTTATTGTTTATCATGCCACTTAATTTAGCGAAGGTCTGATGAAAGTGATGAGGATTGGAGCTCAGAAGTGGAGAACGTTATGGATAGCTTTGGCCCTTTGCCGCGGCTGGGAAAGAGGTTATTTTAAAAACTATGCCACTGACCGTTATTTTTAAAGAAGTTGGCCTTAGAATTTGGATTTGCCTCTGGGGTTGCTAAATGTTATCATAATTTTTGTTTTTAGTTTAAGCGCTCCAACCTCCTCTTTTACAAAAGTAAATAGCGGTAGATCTGAAACGACTGGAAACGATTGTAGCTGCCTTCTAACTTCACCGCATTTGGAAAGTGGGAGCTAGACTGTCCCTGCGTTGTTTTTTCAATTTTTTTTATAAAGTTACGTAACTGATTTCATTTACACTCGAGTAAATAAAATCTATAGTTGCAGATACACGTCCCTCCATTGAGTGTAAAGAAGTTTGCACTGGTACTTCTTTACCCTTTTCTTTCCGCAGTACAGAAGGATCTCAAATATCTACCCCTCGCAACCAGAGAATCAGTGCAGAGATGGGGAAAAGCAGTCCACCAATTGCTGTCGCAGATCAAGCAGGAGCTGCTTTTGGTGTTGGAGACATGTCTGTTTCGGATATGAAACACCAGTTTTCTAAGTTTAAGCAAATGTCTGAAGATACATCTCCTCGAAGCGTTGTGTTCTCTGAACGAGTATGTGGCAGCTATTTTTTTCTAATTAAATAGTTTCAAGGTACAGACTTGTTAGAAGAAGATTTTAGGTTGGTGATTTGAAACAATAACATTTCAAAAAAGTTTAGCTCGCATAATCAAGCAATTTTTTTAGCTATCTGCTGCTCTTCGTGACGTTGAAAAATGGCCGTTTAGCTTCCGACTGTGTTTATGTTCTCCTTCAAATTTGCATATTTTATCTGCTTTAGAACCGACATATAAAATAGTTGATTGTACAACTTTCAACGACTGCCGTATCCTGATTACTGCAGTTGTTGCAAAAATTCAGAAGTTGTGAGTTTGAATTTTCAATCTTTTGCCGCAGTAGAATTGTTTGTATAGTTCTTCCGCAGGTTCAGGTTCAACTGATTTTTGCATGAAATTAAGATGTGATTTTTATTTAGTTGCAATAATTCATCTGCTACACCGCCCTCTACCACACTTTTCGTTGTTGGTTACGAGAAATTGATACATAATGTCTTACGTGCCTACGTCGAATCGTTGCAGACGAAATCAGCTGAATGGATTAATTTCTTGAGGTTGCTGGAATTTATTGGTGGGACTTAAAGCTTCCGGATCTAGAATTATTGTTCCGGACTAGCTTTTTATTTACGTGTTCCGAAAATGAGCGATTGACCTTTGTTTTTAATTTTAAGATTTTGTGTGGTGCCTCCTCCTAAAAGTTCTCTCTCAAGTTTAATTGGACTTTGTACGGAAAGTCATTGGCCATCGAAGGATTCAACAGAGCGTCATGGAAATGAGCCCTTTCTGGATGACTTGAGATGTAAGATGGATGCCCTTGCTAGCGGTAATGTCATTAGATTACCCATTGGCGAAGCAATGTTGCAGCTCTGCAAAAAACCGTAATTTTTAATTTTTTGAAAGAGAAAATGTGTTTCTGTTTTTAATTTTAAAGTGTGTTTGACGTAGACCCAGTTATTAATGGGTTTTTTCTTCAAAGGTTTCCCACTGTTTGTGAGAGTAACTAAGTTCTTAAATTTTAGGTCAGTTAATGATAGTGACTCGCAGATTTTTGTACCTTTTTTGGCTGAAGTCAAAGTGGGTCAGTTTGATGAAGATTCAGATTCCTTAGCAGTTAACCGATTTCAGGAGGAAACTCAGGTGTTATTTTAAATAGCAGTTTTTGGAATTTTGAATTTTTTAGTAGGGTGCGTTACTGTTTATTTCCAGAACTTGTTTGCTTCATCGACAGTGCCATCTCACGCGTCTCCTCCGCTTTCACCTCATGGATCACAGAGGTCTTCGGACCTACAGGAGTTGCAAATTGATTATTGGGTGCCAACATACGTAAATGTAAATATTTTGAGTTTTTTAAAAATTGGAGGGAGTGTGTTAAATGTGAAAGTAGGCCTTTTAACAAGAAATATCCACACTGGTTGCTGGAAGTGGTCAGTTTTTAGACTGTATGTTACTGTAAAAGTTGTTGATTTGGGTCAGTTCTTGGTTTGAATTTGCGGTGCAGATTTTCGCATGGTGAGTTGTCGTTGGCGTTACGGTATGAGCTGATGGAGTCAGTTAGAATTGAAAAATTTGAGCGCTTGTAGGTTACTGGTAGTAAGAGTACTTTTAGCTTGTTTTTTTGTTTGGTAGAATTCAGTTCTGCAGTTTAGAAGGCAGTTAAACGGGAATTGCGTTTAGGTTTCTGTTAGTTCACTAAAAGGTTATTTAGAACTAATGTGATTCGTCCTTATTCTCTACCAACTGAATTGATAGTGGTTTTTAGTCTAATAATCTCCTGTGCAGCCTGATTAACTTCCCCATCTTGTGTATTTTAGAACGAAGTGGGGAATAACAGTTCGTTGAATACTAGTGGAGGTTTCTCACCGATGAATTCCGCACCAAAACGGGATACACATTTGGTAAAGAATTCGATACGTTCAACATTTCGTTCATTTTCGATTCTCCGGAGTAGTTCTTCTGATGCGCTATTTCTAAACTTTATTAAAGAAAAGAAGAGAGAGAAGATGTTTCAGAAACTAGGAATGAAAAAAGGACAGGTAATTTTATCTTACATTGTTCTTCTTTCAAAGCTGAGAGGTAAACGACAGCACGAATTAGTAACTGGTTGTTTTTATTGGATAACTGACAGTAATTGTTTAACTGGAGTGTGATTAAGTAACGGTGGGGCCGTTAGAAATGCTTTTCTTTCTCCGATTACTCCGGAATTAGAATTTTTGTTAAAATAGAATTGTCTTGACAGTAAAGGAGCTTGTAGCCAGCCCGTTGGCCTACACTTACTGCTCTTTTTTTCAGAAGGCTGATCTTGAGTCTCCAACTGTCATCAGTTCTGTAAACAACGTAACCCGTCTTATTTGCAGTGGGAAACACCTTTTGTCCGGTTTGTTTAAAGCCTATCGAAATTCAGTTCTGCATAACATTGATCATTTTTCCTTCGCCCTGATTATTGTTCAGAATGTGCACCTTATACTTCTGACGAATTTCGGAACTGTAAAATTAGTTACTGGTTGTGTTTTGATGAGGATTAAAGCAAGGATTTTACTGCTTTGCAGTGTTTAATCTAAATTTGTTGTTTCTCTCAGTTGATAGGCTTTATGAGAGTGAATTCTCCTATCTCCATATTGTCTTTTTTAATTGTAGTTTGCATCGATGGCAGTTTGTGGACTGGTGTTCGTTTCTTCCAAGCATCAGTGCAGTGGCAAACTCATGTGAAGTACTTCCCTGTTTGTCTACCTTCAGAGGACCAGATACGTCGATATTGATCTTCGCTCTATGGATTTTAAAAAATTCTGGCTAGGGAGGTTTTGGTGCTGATCCTGTAAAAGTTAACTGTGTGTCTGTTGTTACTTTTCATTTTGAATCTTTCTTGTCTTTGCTGAACTTGCCTTCCCTTCGTCATTCGCTTTAAGATTTTATACATCCTCTGAATCTTTTCATTGGAGTACGAGTCGCTGTTTCTCACAGGTACAGTAGCATATGATACGAAGTTTCCTTGTTCTTTTAATGTCCGTTTGTAGTTTCTTTCATTTTTCTCAACCCTCCGCATACGATATCATGAAACTGTTGCATATTTTCATAGTATCCTGAGCTTTATTGTTTTGTGTGTATTAATAATATGTATAATACTTTTAGTAACTTTTTTGAATTTCTATCTTTGTTGTTTTGAGCTTGTCTAATGAATTATACTGAGTCTACTTCTGTATTTCGAGTTTCAAATGTTCATTGGATGAGGTAAATCTGGACTAACAGAGTTTGCGACTTGCGGGTCGGGCGAGAGACCTAACTTGACATTCAGTGGCTCGTTTTCATGCCGAGTTTGGGAATAGTCGTAGTGTGGTTTTTGAGAAATTGATGTTCTCGGAATGACAAGGTTGGGGCATCTGCATGACGTCAGCGGATATGATATAGTTTATTTACCCGAAGAACATCGCAGTTTTCTATTGCTTTAGGTACAGTCATCACTGGGCGTGCTGGTTTGCTCTGATTATTTCCAGTCCGTAAAGGTCTTTGGTTTTATGTTTAGCAGTGTCTAAACTATGCTGTTTCCTTGAAGCGATTGCAAAAGTGGCTGGGATGTCGTTCCTCTAGTCTGGATCACTGAATTTTTTTTGTTTAGGGCTTGACGCACTACTGATGTCCTTTTCCCCAGCCGGTTCGTAGTACGTCCTTCTCTTCCTTCCTTGGAGTTCCGCTCGTTGTTGCTCTTTTATACATGCTTCATACAGCGAGTTTCTGCGTTGTATCACTCGGCGCAAGTAGAACTCCGCTATATCTTTGACGTCTTCTATCTTTAAAATTCGCAGGACTTGCAAGAAGGAACACTGAAAAGTGAATAAATGTACTAAAGCCGTTCAAGAGATTGGGCACAAAGTGGACTTAAAAAGAAGCATGTGAAATGTTATTCCGACCGCAAACGCAGAGGTGCGACCATCCAGTCTTCTTTTGTCGCAAATATTCATTATTTTCCAGATCCTGCGCAAGTACTTCGTGACTGTGTATGTCAGCATCACGGCGGCTTGCCACTCGATTCCTTTACATGAAATCTTACGTTAGCTGTTACACATTTATAAGTATATCTTTAAAGCAAACTTAACGAGCTTTTTGGTGATTAAACTCGTTACAGAGGGGGCATACCTTCAAATCCAGTTTGGGCAGCTAATATCAAAATCGAGTGTGTAATAATAGTCCTTACATCGTTATCCGTTAAAAGCTGATTTTCTTCTAGCCTGAAATAAATGATTTGAGCAATCTTCGCACGACCAACTTGTCTTTAGTGCGTAATTATTTCACTGACTACAAGAGTGAGCAGAACTGTATGTGTAAGAGTCCAGCACCTGTAAAACACTTCTGCATGAGCTTGTGAAGAGTGCTTGCTAGACTTTTTTAAAGCGGTTTCAGAAACAAAAAATCTGTTGCTTTTCATGCCTAAAAGTCCCTACAGGAAAATAACGATAAGCTTTTCCATCCTAAAGTTGAAGATTTTGTAGCGTATTTCAGGCCAAACCAAAAATTCATGGCTTCCTATTTGGGATGAAAACGGGAAGTGACCATCAAATTACCTCCGTAACGAAAGGACGGTAAATATTTGCCTGGAAAAACACCTGTAAGTTACAGCCTCAGATTTGATTATATTGAGGAGCACGAGACCTGGAGAATGACAGCAGTGATCTGTAGTGGTAGTTCTGCTCACGATTCTCGCGCTAAAATTATGAAGGAAAGCCTTCTACTTCCACTCTCTCTACAACCGACAAATATTAATGGATCTACGCAAAGCTACCAAGTGCGTCAGCTTTTTCAAAGGAAACTTCCAGTCTTCCAGTTCTAGCCTTTTTCGGTGAAAAGTTGATTGCAGAGTGCCAGAATGTAATTTTACATTACACTCTAACACCTCGGCCCGCTTTGCGGGACGGAAATTGAGTACTTCACTGCTATATGGGCATTGTGCTACACAGCAAAATTGATTATAACTTTTAACAAAGTTCCTTCTTCTTAGCCTAGGCTTCTTACAGAGCAGGCTTCTTTCCAAACCACTCCAAAGAAAAAGTAGCTGGGTTCTTCTGCCTGACAAATAGCAAGAAACGAACCACCTAACGTTCCAGAATCCACCTACTTTTGAACGTAATGCTGTTAAAATATTTTCTGTTACTCACTAGCAATTCTTTAAACTGTATTTTACAGTGCATTTTGAGGCACCTGACTAAGATTTTAACAAGATGCTTCTGAAAAATGATTTAAAATTTAACTTAATGTTTAATAAAATCTACTATACCTAGTAAAATCTGAATGCTGCAGAACCAGCAGATGGAAACCTACATGTATTTAATTTGCTCACACTTGCAGTTTTTCATATAATTTCACAATATTCATTCCTTGAACAAGGGGTCTTTTTCACTAAAGAAGTTGATTTCTAACGCAGGTTTTAAAAGGGCTGGCTTTCTTCCATATTCCTCTGGAACAACTAATGCCTGATTACCACTTGGATTACGTTTTAATTCTCTCCGGTAATTAATTAAGTTCAAAGTATGCACCACCACCGGGTCAAACGGCATCCTGAAAACCTATCAATCAGCACTATAAAAGTGTAGAAGCGAAGAAAAAGACTCAAAAGAAGAAAATGAAATTTCAGGAATAACACCACTTTGATTTCTGAGCTTCCGTTCTCCAACAGTACCTCTATTTCACTTCATCAGTCGCTAATGGCAATCTCACTAATGGCAATCTTCCTTGAAACGTATGCGACCTAGCCTAACAGGCAAAGGGGGAAAATGCAAAAAAGAGGCTTGAAAGATTATCAAACTTACTTCCTAAGCTAGCTAAAAGTTTTCCAAACCAAGTATGCCTATCACAGGGTTCAAATCAACCTAAGCAAAATCAGAAACAGCCGTGTCATGCATACCACAAAAAACCCCTCTCCTTTCTCTTCCACCAGCCGTTGAAAAATTTTGTCTAATTGTTTCTAGATTTTTGAATAATCTGAGCAAGTTTTCCACTGAACTTCCTGCCTAAATAGGCATTTCGCTTATAACTTTCTAACCAAAATTTCTGTTCAACCGCAACGTTTTTCTTAGAATTGCAAGAAAATTCGCTTTCCCTTTCAAACTAGTCCCAAGTTCCCAGCTTGAAAAATTACTGAAAAAAATTATTTTTTCTTTAGATCCTATTGAAAACACCTCAGATCTGGCAACAGTGCATTTCAAAAGTTAACGATCAAAATCAGCTGAATCTTGGTGCCATTATTCTAAATCTCATTTTCAAATCGGACATCATAAAAGGTAGCAGAAGGATTTAATAAATTTGCAAAATAATATTCAAAAAAATTCTACTAAAATTATTTGCAACTCTTTCTGTATTATTAGCACCTCGAAACAATAAATTACAAAGAATAAAATGTTCCATGGCAATTCGCTGAAGGCTAAAAACAGTACGCTATATTACCACGGTAAAAGTAGAGCATCATCCGGCTGTAAAAGTAACAAGATGTTCATCAAGTACTCAGTATAAAAACAGAAACCTCTTCGATAACGCACGACCTCACACTTTAATTAATGTGCAAAACTAAGAACACCAAAAACTATCACCTGAATCTGTTACATGCCTCGGCAGAAAAATGTGAAGAGACGTCGGGCGACGATACTGTCGGCATACTGCTTTAAAATTTTCCTAGAAGTAATACTACATAGTCCACAATCATGCTATCACTGAAAAAAGTAATTTATCTGGATCACAGAACAAACTGATTTCAAAATTCGTTTTCAAAGAGAGTAAAAAGGCTTCTTCATTTTACAGGGTAAAAGTAAAAATTCTTTGACTAATAAGACCAGAGAAATAAAAACGCTGAAAAGAGTCGAAGGGAGTTGGAGAGGAACTCTGGGCTGAGTACAACTTCTTTTAAGTGATACTTCAACAATGATTAAGCTTGTTAACAGCGAAAATATGTATTTAACTGTGACCGACGAAACCTGGATGTCTGAAAGTGACAGTGAACCAGTAGGTTATAAACTGCAGGAAGAGTACAGTATGAAATACGAGCAGATCACTGTTTAAAGCTCTTAAGAACAAGTATTAAGCAGGCTACTAACATTTACCATGCGGACAATGTTAGAAAAGAAACTTGTCATTTTTCATAGCTCTTATTCCAATTCAGTAATTCAGCTAGTCTGTATGTTTTATGAAATATGTTATAATTAGGTACTCTAACAATAACTACCGTTCTCGTTCTTCCAAAAAATCATATAAAAATATAAATGAACAAATATAAATTGTAGATTTCTCTACTGCTCTCTTTAATTCCAATAAGTAATTCAATTAAGACACTAGGAATTCTTCAGAAGGCTCTACTTTCCCAAACAGATGTAGTACTTCTAAAAAACCCCAAACATTTTCCAAATCAAATTCCGATTAATCTGAATCTCAACAAGAGGCTATATATATATAT